AGAAATATGTATGGTTATAATTGCATTTTGAAAAGGGAGTTTTGGCATATGAAAACTGAGTTTTGGCATTTGAAAACCGAGTTTTGGCATTTGAAAACTGAGTTTTGGCATTTGAAAAGGGAGCTTTGGCATTTGAAAATGGAGCTTTGGCATTTGAAAACTGAGTTTTGGCATTTGAAAACGGAGTTTCGGCATTTGAAAAGGGAGTTCTGGCATTTGAAAACTGGGTTTTGGCATTTGAAAACCGAGTTTTGGCATTCGAAAAGGGAGTTTTGGCATTTGAAAACTGAGTTTTGGCATTTGAAAATGGAGTTCTGGCATTTGAAAAGGGAGTTCTTGAAATAGTCTACTTTACTTAAGCATGCATAAGACCTTCTGACCAATGATTGCAGTTAGCTTCAGCCACTTGCAGGTAGCGCCGCTACCTAGGATCCCAACATTTGCATGTTGCATTGCGATGTTCACAGAAATATTCACGACAAATAGAAAATGATTCATTGTGGGCAACAGCGTCACCGATTTAAGTATTGGTCGAAAGCTATTCTGAAATATCGATTTCATGATAGCATTAAACCTTACCAAGCCAAATGTCGTTTGGTCCATATCCACGACAAGATGAGAAGGGACTTCACCACTTGCTTTGTTTTCTTCACCCTCCGATGCTTTTCTTTCTTTTGGTTTTGTTGTGTTCTTTTTCTCCGTCTAAATATGCATGTAAGTAATTGAATACTAACACTACGTGTAAGGGAAATTGTTCAGGAAATGATAACGACGGAATCATCTTAGTCGAAAGCTAGAATATTAAAATGTTTATTTTCGGAGTTACGGTTGTTTTATATTTTATTAAAATACTCAGTGGTTCTCGCAATTTTTAGAACATACCTTCTTCCTCACTTTCTTTGGCTTCTCGTTTTTCTGCTCGCTGCTTTCTTCATGAGAATTTTCCTCTTTGACGTTTTCTGTTGCATTCTGTGTGGGACCTTGATCGTCACCCTTATCCGCGCCAGGAACTGGGGCTAAATTTTGATCTGCCAAGGACTTTTTGCTAGTTTTGACTTTCTTCTTCTTCTCGCCGTCTTTTTTAGGCGCGACTTTCTTTTTGGTTATCTTTACCTTTTCGAGTTTCTTAATTTGTTTCTTGATTTTTTCGGTTGACTATTTCAAGAAAACAAAAGAAATTCCAAAGTTTAAAATCCGGTTAATCCTAGATAAACCTAACATTCAAAGCACACTTTCCGGCAGCTTCCTTGCCTAATAAATTTGGAAATATTTTCACAAAAATCTTTGTATGGCTCAATGGAATTTTTCTTTTCAAAAATTTTGAAATAAACAGATGTGCAGAATCAATAACAGAGTGTGTTAATTCTAATCCAGGGAATTTGCTCATCGCGGCCACATCATATGGATCAATAGGTTCTCTATCGTAATACGAAACTATGACATACCTGTCTGAGTTCTTCAGCTTTACTTCTGATGCCATCTTGCTTGAGAAGTCTGATAAGATATTCAGCTCGAGTTTGGAGATGTTTGTCCTGAGGTTTGAGATTGCCTGGAGGCATGACCTGAATACAAAATATAGAATTGTGATTTTAAAACTGTGTAACTGGTTATTACATTCCATCAGATTTTTAGTTCGTTGTTCGAAACTTGTCTTACCTTTGAGAGAGAAAGATTAGGATCATCTTTAATAGTATCCCAGCTTCCCAAACCATGTTCATAACATCCGACCAACAACATACTGTCATCTTTCACATCCCATTCAATATCCCAGTGGACACTCTTTGCAGGAATTGTGAAACGATATCTGCAACCGTATAATTATATGAATGCAACGTATAAAGAAATATAAAGGCTGTTTCATGAATGCCCAGTATGTTTATAGACATTAAAACATTTTGAATTGCTGGTGACAGTTGACAAATGACAATTGATTTGAACAGGTAAGCAGAGGCAGGGTGTCCACCCTTTGAAGGTGAAACTTAAGGACTTTTCCAGGACTTTCAAGGCCCTTTTTCAGTAAATTCAAGGACCTAGAACTGGGAAAAATCTTTGAAAATGGTACAGATTTGCCCAGCAAATAATTCACTTTATTCAGTAATTTTAATTAAAATCACTAATGTTGGCACAGCTGGAGGTTAAAGAAATGAATTCCTGGACTTTCAAGGACTTCTGCTGGTTTTCAAGCACCTTCCAGTCCTGGAATTGTTTTTCCAATTCAAGGACTTTCCAGGATTTTCAAGGCCCGTGGACACCCTGGGTAAGAATTTCAACCTACTTTTTCCTTTCCTCAGGATCGGTGGGAATGGCATCAGCCAGAGGTTCCAGCTCGGTTTCATGTTTCAGCAAGGACGGAGCATTAACGCTTACGCCAGCGATACGCAGAGAAGCACCACGCTTCTTACCTGCAAAATAAATCAGCGACAAGTTATTCAAAAACTGCTTCGTCTTATAATCCTGGGTTAAAAATGATTCGCACAACATTTGCGTGTAATTATGCGATGGCAAAATTAAATGGCGAACATCACTGACCATCAAAATCAGGATCTTGCTTTAATCGTTCATCATATTCTTTCATTTCCTTGATACAACCATCATGTATTGCATTGGCTAGTCTCACGATCTCCTCGTATGTCTTATCTTCGAGTTCTGCATCTACAGCAATCACGTCTAGTCTGAAAGAAAGTACAAAGATATTAGTAAACTTTTAGACAGTTTTATAAAGGCCAGATCAGCTACGCTATTAACGGGTAGTTACAAAATATTATTTTCTATGTTGAATTAAAATAAATCCTGTGTTGTTATTATGCTGAGGAGTTCGACTAACCTTGTCATTGGACGACCAAATTTCTTGTAGCTCTTTATAAACCTGAGTAAGAAAATAATATTAGATTCATTTGATGTCATTTACACATGGCTAAACTAGGCGCATGATACAAGTACTCGACAACTAAATCCTAAGTGGTTAGTTTAATGGGAGAACCCGAAGAAGGGTTGCCTCAAAGCACAGATTTTTCTGGAATCAACCAACTCATTAATAATTCATGAGGAAAACCTTCCATACCTTCTTATTTCTTGGTCACTAAATCCTTCGATATCTTCACGTTTGACAGTCCGTGGTCGTCCACGTTTCTTCTTCGAGTTCTCGTCAAACTCATCTCCAGACGAACTGGTCGCTTTCTTTCTTCGTTTTTGTTTTGGCTTCTTTTCCTCCTGCTCATGATGACCTATGTTCATCTGTGGAGATGAAGTTTTGAAAGTAATACAGTGGTAATTTTCTTATAGAAAGATTGACAAGTTTTGAATCACAAGTTTTCCTCGTCCAGTGTATGGGCAACTTCGCCAATTTTACTGTGGCGCGGGTTCAGAGGATTTAGTAAAATAATTTTACCTGAATTATAGATATTTAACGTTAAAGATTGTAAATTACGATAGACTCTTAATTTGCATAAGTGCCAGAATGATGATAGTTAGGTGAGGAGGGGCAATTCAGACAAATTCGATCGACTCCCTGGATATGTTTCCCCTCAAAATTTTGAAAACTTCGAATCTCTTAAACGGCATTTCCTGCATTCTGGGGAAAGATTTGACTTGCAAAATCCTCTACGGTTAAAAACCTACTGTAACCAACCACAACAACTGTTTCAAACCGTGTAACGGTGAATCACGAATCATTTCGTTGCCAATGTCCTTTTTTAATATAATATTCCACTGAATATTCCAAAGCAATTACCTTTTTAACGGATTTTCTAGGACGTTTCGGTAGATACAGTTCAAGTTGTTTTTGTTGCTCCTCTTCTGCTTCGAGAGTTTTTCTTTCGGTTTCAGGAATGATATCTTCCCAACTTTTCTGTTCGGTCGCTGGCGTATCTTCCCCCTCCACCTTACTTTCTTCTTCAAAATCCATCGACACAAAATCTGCCACCTACATGGACGCGAATTATAACATGAAAAAATATATATATTATCCAAGTTATAAATTGTTCGTTTATTTTGTTTGTCGAATTTTCTCACTCATTGGTCAGCGATTTCCCAACAAGCTATTGCCCCAATTGATAGGGGGTCCGAGGTACCTATGATTTTATTATTACTATTATATCCATATTTATCCAGGATACCCACATCACCGAAGTGTTTTTCAGTGGGGTCCTGCAACTTTAAATTACAGTATATTAATTCAATATTTAGTCAGCCACTATTTACAGCAACACATATATACAATATAATTATTTAAGAGTATTAATAAAGTCTGATTTCCACTCCAATCGAAACGAAACACAACGCACTTCTTTGTTTCAAGGGCATCAAATTATATCTGAATGCTCACGAAACAAATACATACGTTAATTTTAACGACATTATCCGAGAAGACGCGAATGTCTAACCATTTACGAATGTCAATGTAAAGGTAGCACTTTCTCCTCAATTATTTTAAGACCTTGAGCAGAGGCCGGATTGAACCCGAGTCTCCTTGGAAGATAAGCGTGGTGACCACGGTACCACGAGAGCTCGACACCAATACTTTTTTTAAAAAGATTATATTTTTCCATATTTTTTGAAAATTGTCGAAACATTGAAAACAACAAGAATAACAACAAGGGCAAAACAAAGGCAAGCAACAACATCACATTCAATATAACCACGAGCATAATTAAACCGACCTTAAATTGGGACAGAAGTTCTTCACCCATCGTCGATGGTTGATCATCAGACTCCCTAGTTTCAGCACGTTTCAATATTTCATCAATATCCATTTCCTGTATTGAGATAATAAAAAAAAAACATTTTTTGAAATTTTCTGTGCTAAATTCTCGCTATATAGCTTCGATAATGAATATGCATGACGTCCGCGTTTACTGTAATTTTACTAACCTGTAATTCTTTGTCTCTTTCGCCATCACCTTCTTTGAAAAGATCTTCAGCACCAAACTTTAAAATGGCCGACAATTCATCTTTATTGAATGGCGTGTTCCTGTTTAAGAATAGAAAAAATGCGCTTTATAACATGAAACAAATGGTATAAGGTGAAGCAACAAAAATGATTTGGAATATAACTCAATGAATTCGGTCTCGATCTATGTTTTGTATTATTATTTATTTAATTAAGAAAATTCATGATTTCCGAACTGTGAAATCGTGATATATGGTAATTTTGACCAAATATGGAATTTTGACATAATGTTCACTGGAGTGACTTCATAACATTGATATGGGGAATAAACGCTATATGACGTCGTGTCAACGACGACAGTCGAACAAGTGAGGAATTGTGTCACAATACAAATGGCTTCCTATAACCGGACGCTGTTTCATCTTTTAAATAAATAATAAAACAATTCTTGAATTCGGTTTTCGTATGATATGAAGATTTAATGAATTCTTCACATCATTCGACAATTGTCAAATAACCCGTTAAGAATCCAAGAAAAAATGATAAGCAAAACACACTTACGCAGATGGTGCGGTGTTAGTTTTTGACAAAACTTTGCGTCCTGTGGTGTCCATTCTCTGAATTATAAGATGATCCAAAATCATTTTCTTCTTTGCTCTTTCTACAATTTCTTCTTCGACACTTCCTTTTGTAACCAAACGGTAGATATTCACCTGAAATGTGCAGATTATGATGGAGTTTGCATTGGAGAAAATCATTGGAATCATTGTTAGAAACAAAATTCAAGCTTCCGACCCAAAGCTGAACTGCCATTATACACATTGTATGCAAGTTGAATGCTTTCTATTTTGGAGTTTCAATTTCTTGTGGTCTTGATATGCTATGTATTTTGATTTTGGCTTATTTAAAAATTCAAAATGGTGCCAAATGCGATGCGTACCTGATTTTTCTGTCCAATACGGTGAGCTCTGGCCTGAGCCTGCAGGTCATTTTGAGGGTTCCAATCAGAGTCGAATATAATAACCGTGTCAGCGGTCGCCAAATTAATTCCCAGTCCACCAGCTCGGGTTGATAATAAAAAACAAAAATCCTAGTGAAAAAACAGCGATTTTGACATATTAGAAAAAAAGTCACGCCAATTCACGTTTTGCATAATTCATATGCCGAGTTGTTATTCCAAGCTAATCAGAATATATAAATTTAAATTTGGAAATTCACCAGGCAATACATGGTTTCTACCTCATGACGTCATGAAGTCGATAAACCTGAAAATCAATTGCTACCTGCAAATCAATTGCTACCTGCCGAGTAAAGGCCCTACAGTCAGGCTAAAATAATACTAAATACTATAATTACTTATACTATAACTTTACCTCAGAGCCTTCAGCATTAAAATGATCTAAAGCTTTCTTTCTCAAATCACCTCGTACAGAACCATCAAGTCTCTACAAGTATCAGAACATAATTCATTATAATCAGAGGCCGCGGAACCGGGAGGCAGGTCCCCCCCCCCCTACTTTTTAATTTGTGCAAGACAATGGAATAAAAGTGCCCTGTTTCCAGCAATTAAGGCGGAATTATAAATGCCCCCCCCCCCTTAAGCTAAGACGTCTACAAATGCTGTG